TTCAACTCCCAGAATTCTGGCTGGAGAATTCTGGGAGTTGAAGTCCACAAGTCTTAAAGTTGCCAAGGTTGGAGACCTCTGCTGTAGAGCACTTTTCACCATGGTGAGTGCCCCTCAGTATTGTTTCCTGAGGGTGGGGAAAAGAAATCATTCTGCTGACTAAGAGGGGAGTTCAAAAATTGGCAATCCAGGCAGTGTCCCCTGGTCCCCTTCTGCTTTATCATTTCTTCATTACTGCTTTTTCAGTAAAGGGAAAAAGTGATGCGCTTCAAGCATTCCAAAACAGAGGAACAGTTATAAAACTCAAGAGGATCTATTCTATAACAAGAGATTTTATTCCATGGGAAAGTTTCCACTGCATAGCCAGGAGGAAACACCTTCATTCTTCATCAGTTCAGCTTGCAAAGAACTCTAGAAAGCCCCAAATCATAACGGGGGAAATTAAAAGTATGGGTGTGGAAGGGACATAGGCCTTGCAGCAATTATTTATTGGCGTTTTATTTACTGGAGTAATCTTGTGAATTCATCAGGGGTATCTTTCTGTACATCAAAGGTTAGTCTTTGAGGTCAGGATTAGTTCACGTAATTTGGGAGTTGTTAAGGAAGTACAAGGAAACCACTGTTTGAGATATTATCAGCTAAGAGTGGCCAAAGAAAGGCTGAGAGCTAGTATCTTATTTCAATCGTGTGGGGTGCACAGTAGCATCATTTGCCTTCAGGCCCATCCAGCATTTGCTTTCCATGTAACAAAAGAGCAGCCCAGAAGTAATGCAGTTTCTTCCCACGAGGCTTACATTTTTCTATGCAAAACTGTATGCAGATTATCAGTTTTAACCACCTGTAGGTAGTATTACTGTGGAACATTATTTTATGTAGCTTACAACACCTTTCCCAATGCTAATCCTTTTTTTTAACCGAACAGGTTTTGTAGGTTACCAACACAGTATTAAAAAAATTGAAACCACAGACCGTAAGTGAATAAATGAGTCAATCAATCCCTTTATCACGCCACCCACAACTTAATATATTGTGTTTCCAGACAAACGCATAGTTAAGGAACAGGGCCGTTAAAGACAAACGCATGCTAGGACAGGTTAGGGGACAAGAAGGAAGTAACTTGAACCACTTATTCAGAGAGGCAGAGGTGGTTTAAGGTCAAGGTCTGAACATAAAAAAGTTTTATGAAAGCTTCAAACACTTTGTACACCATGTCCTCTGCTCCTATCTAAAAATAAAGAAAAACAACGGACCTCACAAGCTAGTGGAGATAGATTGGGCACCTTCCACAACTACCCAAAGGAAACAAAAATAAAACCGGCGAGCGAAAAGGATAAAAAAACAAAACAAAAAAAGGGCCATCAGGCAGGGTAATGACGTCACGGCGTAAGACGTTCCCGCCGGGGATCGTCGCGCCCGCCGCTCGTTCCAGGACGAGGTTTCCTCTTGAGAGGCGTGCACTCGCGTGACACCGAGGGAGGAGAACGTGCTCAGTGTAGGCGAGGAGGACGGGTTGCTCTACGCGCAACTCTTCTTCTTTTCTCTCTCTCTCTCTCTCCCCCCTCCCCCCCCCCGTTAGCTTCCGGCGCCACTACCGCCATCACTCTCCAGCCAGCACCTGGCCCCGCCCCTCGTGCGCGGGGCGCGCCTCGTGCTGGACAATAGCGGCGTTGCCGCAGCCGAGTGGTGTCTCCTCCAAATCAGGCCGGGACTGCCGCAGTTAAAGCAGCCTCCGGGCTCGCCCGCTAAGACCTGAACTAACGGCGGCGATGCCGCCGTCCGGGCTACGGAGCTGACCGAGGGACTCGGTATTCGAGCTGGAGGCTTGATGTTGGTTTCTTCCGGATCATCCTCTAGGCTGCCTCTCCGCTTCCCCTACGCGAAGCTCGCCGAGCCCCGGCTCGGACGGTTAGAAAGAAGTCGTTTCTAGCGCTGCCCGGGTTTGCGTGGGGCAGGTTGAAAGCGGTGAGCCGGGCCTGCCTTGATCCCGGAGCCGGGCCTGGCTTGGATTGGCACCCCAGAAGACGAGGAGGTGGCGGCGGCGGTGCTGCCCCCGTTTCAATGGAAGTATGCTATCAACTGCCGGTGCTGCCTCTGGACAGGCCGGTCCCGCAGCACGTCCTCAGTCGCCGGGGGGCCATCAGCTTCAGCTCCAGTTCTGCGCTTTTTGGCTGCCCCAACCCCAGGCAGCTTTCTCAGGTGAGGGCCCCTCTCGCTCTTCCCCGAGGCGGAGACCTTGGAAGGAGGGGCAGGAACCCCCCCCCCAAGTATATCCGTGCGGGACCCCGAGGGGAAAAAAGGGATGGCTTTGGGGGGGAAAAAACAAAAACCTCGGAGGCTGCAACGTGCAAAGGTTTCGAGTCCTCCAGCCCTGTTCGGTCAGGCGAGAGGGAACAAAAGCGGGCGGTAGGAAGATTAGGCCAGATAGCGTGCAACCAGATAAGGTTTTGAGTTAGCGGCTCAGGCAGGCAAAGCTCGGGACACGCGAAAGACGCACCGAAGCACAGCTTGACTCTGCGGAATTGCCCTCTGTCGGTCTCTGCTCGTCTCCCGTTTTTATTTTTGTTAACACTCGTGGGTTTTTTTTTGGGTCACCTGTAGCTGGGTAGTAATGCTGTAGATCGCCAAGATTGCTTTTCGTGAGTTTTTTTGTTGATTTCTCTCTCTCTCCTACGAACCGACTAGAGACAGCCTGTGATTTTATCCTGGTCGTAAGGCAAGAAAGGGGGGAAGAGGATGAAATTGGTTATTTGGTAGGTAGCTGGGGTGATACCTTTAGAGGAGGCATTCAGTCTTTTCATCCTTAATATTTATAGTAGTTACGAGAGTTACTAGGATATAATGAAGCTGTTGTAAATGATTCAGGTTTTAGTGAGGAGTCTTTTGCTTTTCACTTCAGCTGAATCATGCTCATCCGTTAAAATATTTTGCAAAAGATTGCCATATATATTTTTGTTCTGCCTTTTTCAGGCAGTTTAAATATGTCTCTTATAGGTTTTTCAAGTAAATACACTGTGAGTCCAATGTGAATGATACCAGTAATAAATTTAACCATAACAAATGTAGGTAGGTGGTGAAATGTGAGAAAATAGATTCTGTTGCCATTTTTGGCGCTCTTCAAATGTTTTGAGGATTGGGTTATCCATCTGTTATTGCCCTGATGCAGTCTGCTGAGATTTCCCTGTGAATGATAACAAATCCCTGAATCTTATAAGGCATTTGTCCAGAATTAGAGCTATATATTTGTTTTATTTTTGCAATATTCCAGGTATTTGGGCAAACCATAATTTTATTCAAACTTCTAAGGGTGTGGGTTCCTTTCAAATTTGAAATAGTTCTTTCTGGCTAATACTATTCACAAATGAAGAGGAAACCAGTTATTCTTTGGTTACTTTTTGAGTTTAATAGCACAACAAAATATGCTACAGAATGTGAAGTATAAAAAATTAGTTGATAATAGAGGCAAACTTAAATTTATTAGGATTGTGTCTAAAGAAATATCACTGATAGAAACTATATTGACTCCAAATTTATGTGAAATACTAGATTGCAAATTATTCAGAAGGAATATGTTTGTGCTTATTTTAAAGAATTCAGAGGCAAATTGGTATAATGGCAGTGGTGTATTGAAAGAATGCTGACTGAAGTAGTCCTGTCATGTACTCTCAAAATCTGAGGATAGGAAGACGTGGGATGTTTGATGTTTGGAAAATAGAAATAGAATTTTAACCATGTCATTTTGTTTGTGTGATGATCCATAACAAAACATAACTGCAGTTTTTGAGCCATCCCATAGATATTCTTGAATTGAGATTAAGGCATTAGCGCTGGGATTTTAGGTGATAATATCCTTTGATCTCAGACATTAAATATGCTTCCAATCGAACTGATTTAGTAAAACCTGAGTTCAAGCAAGGGACTTGGGATCAAAATTCTACCTTTATGTAATAGTAGAAATTACGTCCAATTGATTTTTATGCATTTGGTTACCTGAGTAGTTAATATAACTAAGTTAGCTGATAGTGGAATTCATATTCCGTTAATTAGTTATATCCTTTGGGAACAGAAAATACAAGAAAAAGTTATTTGTGTTTATTGCTTAGCAGTTTAGCTATTATGCTATAAATTATATGCTAGGATATTATCAATAGAAACTGCTATGCAGAATGGTATTAAGTTTGAAAAGAAGATTGATAGCTTTTGCTTACAATTGTTGACATCTTGTAAATTAAATGATTGTAGGCATTGATATTTCTTTTGCAAACATTAGTCATTCTTACAAGGAATTTATAGTTTACAGTTAATTTAATATTTTCTTTCCACAATTCTTTATACTGAAGAATGTTTAATATTAATTATGAAGTCTCAAGTGTTCAGTAAATAATTTGATTGTGTTTATACAAAATGACTGTTCTTAAGGACAAACCATTTGGATGAGGTAATTATTAATGGAATGTATAAAAGGGCATGTTTTATTTCAGTTATTAGGATGCTAAGTTGTTTTTTACAATATTTAGTTACAACTATATTAGTACAACTTTTAAGTAGAGCAATTCACAGAAAATACTGAAAGACTTAAATCTCTGTTGCTGACAGTAAATTACAATTAGGCATTATTTTATTTATTAATTAAATTTATATGCCACCCAGGTTATTGTCAAGTGACTCTGGATGGCTTATAAATATCATAAAAACAAAGGTACAAAACAGTAAAACATTAAATATTAAATAAGAGACTAAAAAAGTTAAAAACGCAGAATACCATGATGTGGCAATATGATCTTCTTCGTCCCAATAACCATTTCCAAAATGGAATGTCCCCATTGACGCCCCAAGTCAGTTGACAGAGCCATGTTTTGAAGTTCTTATGAAAGATCAAGAAGGTGGGGGCACATAGCTTGAGAGGCATAATATTCCAGAGGGTGGGAGCCTTGGCAGAAAAGGCCTTTCTCCTTTTTGCCGCCAGCTAGAATTCCTTGACTGATAGGGTTTGCAGCATACCCCTTCTTCTGGAATGAATGGCTTTAAGGGTTTTAAGGTCATAAAGCAACACATTGAATTGGACATGAAAGCAGACTGGTAACCAACGCAGCTTATGCAACAGCAATGTTACATGCTGTTCAAGGGATAACTGCTGCCAGCATTTAAGAATAAAGGTTTAGAAAATGAAATGCAATAACTGAATATTAACAGCTCTAATATATAACTATAATCCATATTCAAAATTATGATGAGCAGGGCCCAACTTTTTTTTAAATGAACAGATATATATTACTGTATTAACTTCATCTAATTTGTTCCCTTGCAGAATACTAGAAACAGAAATGAGAGTGTAAAATCCACTCTAGAAAGCCTATTAACTCTCTAGTGAATAAACTCTAAGGTTCAATATCCTTAGAAAAAGTTCATTCAGGTTATTTTATAAAAATGTAAATAGGTGATAACATTGACTGACTTGAGGACATTTTGATCAGTGCCTTTGGGCACATAAGTTATCTTTTGTTTTTCTCTTCTTCTAAGTTTCAGTGTATTTTAATGAGTAACTGGATCTGAACTTGAAAAAAATCTAGTTTGAGCTCCAAATACTTCAGTAAGATTGAAACTCTACCCATAAGTTCACAACAGTCTGATTTGAATGTGAACCAAGTACTCTAAATTCAAAATATTTTACATATCCCTGAACAAATGTTATGGAGATTTAAATTTTTCAGTGAAATTTTTTAGCTATTGTATATATATTGTGCTCTCTAAATCTTAACTTTTTAAATCCATTCTTTTTCTTTATGGACCATCAGAAAACCAGTTTTTATGTCATCTAAATACTCCTTTTAATGGGTCTGGTGGTTTATAAACTGTGGACAGGAAGTCTGGATTTAAACCTGCATATGCAGTTGTACCTCTTGTTGCCTCAGAAAGCCATTTTCATTTTCAGATAGTAGAGATTTTTCAGTTGATGAAAACTACATAGTATTACAGAATTCTGAAGGGGTCTCTAAACTTCTGCACCTGCCATATTCATTATTTTTTCCTTCTGAATCTGTAAACAATTGTAAATGTACATTTGAATATACAGAAACATGGTATAAATATGTTGCCATTAACTTTGTACCATATACAGATTGTGACAGCTTCATTTTATTTAAAGATTTATTGAAATATATAATTGGAGAGGGTGTCTAAACTTTTGTATACAACTGAAGAGCTGTTTAGTCAGGGTTTTTATAGTTTCATGTCTTCTTCTCTTTCCTGTTTTGTTTGTATGTATCCTTAGAAAGTAATGAGCTTTTCCCCCTAATACTGGCACTGTCAATTATCAGACACTCCTATGACTTTGGCATGGTCATGCCATTGTTTCCAGATCTGTTAATGGAACTTGTATACCTTTTTGTTATAATTAGAGTGGTGCTTTCTGACTGGGGAGTGTCTGTCACCTGGCACTCATGCTCAATATTATACATATTTAAATGGACTTATCTTGGTAATAATACAGAAACGATTTGTTAGTACCTTCCTTACATTTGATACTGGAGTTTCTTCTAAGTATTCACCTTCCTTATATTTACAAACTTCTATCTGTCTTATCTCCATTGTGGATTATTGTTAATATTCCACTCTTTTTTCAACTACTGGCAAAAGATCCGGTTAGTTTTACTGCCTAAAACAGAGGTTCCCAATCTTGAATTATTATTGGAATAATTATCATAGGAGCGGAGTCTTACTAATATCCAGCCATTTCGGGGAGTCAGGGGATATAGGAAGGAACTAGTTCTAGTAAGGGATATAGGAAGAAATTCGTTTTAATATGTTTAGCAATTTAAATCTCTTGAGTGACTTGTTTTTTCTGTGCACTGTGCACTAGTAAGTTCACTGTAAAATATGATTGGATGTAGCCAAAATATATGCCATTGGCTTTTTAACTAAGAACCATCATTTTATAATTGATTTTAGAGAATTAAGATGAGTGGAATGTGAAGAAAAGTATGCCATCTAAGGCTAGTTTTGTTAAACATGATTAAAGTTTGAACTTTTGTCCTTTACTGCAACATTTATTTACAATGGTCTTGAAATAAAATTAGAAATTAAGACACTTTAAAAAAAGTAGAAATAACACATGTTTTTAATTTTCAGAGACGTGGAGCAATTTCCTATGACAGTTCTGATCAAACTGCATTGTACATTCGCATGTTAGGTAAGTGTGGTTGCTTATTGAGATTCCAGATCTCTCTTGTTATGTAGACAAAATGCAGAATGCATTTTAATAACGTTGGGTTTTTTGGTCCATTGCTTTCAGATACTTCTAATTATTTACATTTAATTTGGTACCATTTTCATATTGAGTCAGACACTAAAAATACATCTGAAGATGATTTAAAAAAAGGAAGATATGGGCTGTCCTGTAATTCAGATTTCATTAGGAAGAAAATATGGCAGTGGAGATGCAAATACATAAGAGAAATACTGAAGAACATGCCAGATATTAAATATATGATACTGAAGAGCCATGCATTTACATTTATACAGTATATAAATTGTATACATGTATTTATTTGTAATGTACATTATTTGTGTTACAGGTTAGCTCTTGTAGTTATAGTTCTTGTGTTGAACATGGAGAGATTAAGCAAATGCCAAGTACATATAAGATTAAGAATCTGTTATGTTTAAAGATAGTTGGAATGACTCATGAACAAATACTTGTATAGGAATGAGTTTCAGCTTAAGTTGTAAACTAAATATTGTCACGTGCTAGCAATTTTGAAATCGTGCAAGTTCAAAACGGAGAAAAAGATATAGAAGGAATTTTAATATAAATTATTCAGATTAGTTCCTCAGACAGAGAGAAATATATCATCATAAGTGATTTTACTTGTTGCAGCCTTTGCAGTGACTTCTGTTTAGGTTATTCATTATTACAAATTTTGCAGAAATGCGTTGATGCTGACTTTTAGAACACTGAACCCTAAAGTAAGTTCATTTGTTAATACTGAACAATCCTCAGACAGTAAGTGTTGGATGATATAGCTATTAATTTTACTTTAGTACCTGCTAAAATCATAGTAGAATCTCTATGCATCCCCAGATAAAAAAAACCCTTGTAATCCTGTTGCATATGTGAAATCGAAAGTAAATGATTCCTTAAAAATAATTACAATATATTAATTCTAAATTTCCTTTCTGGTATCTAGTATCTACACAATTATTTTTTGTTTATTATATAGGCAAGTTCAGTCTAATTTGGCAAATTTCATTCATCCCTGTTTACTGCTGCGCCACAGACACTAACCTCCCTGTTTGTTTTAATTTCTTCTGTGGTATTTGTTGGTATTTGGCAACACTAGGAAAGTATTTATTTTTATTGTTTCATTTAAGTTAACAAGCCTTAGTTGATTAAAAAGCACTTCCAACAGTTTGCCAGATAAGGCAACAAATCCAGAGGCCGGTCCTTCCATGAAAGTGAAACTTAAAATGAAAGTAGCTTTGTACCATTATTAAACATCTAATTTCCGAATCTGAGTTTCAGTACAGACATCATACAGTTTATCTAGACCATTCTGAAGGCCAAAAGCAATGGTATTGAATCCAGGTAGTTTAGAATTACATTATAATTGCTAGAAGATACCTTCTGATTGTTCAGAAAAAGTAACAGTGCTACTGTAGTATGGTATGTAGCTCCCAAACCAAAATAAGTAAGATAAAAGATAATATAGTCAGTAGTGCCAAAGGCATGGGGGCTGCACTCACGCCACCAGATCTCAGTTGAGACACAGTTCTACCAGGTTGTTCTCAATGCAAACACTTGTAAGATACAAATCAGAAGTGAATCCATGTAAAAGTCCAGTTTAATAAAGGCATAGAGCAAAATATGTATACTACCTGGTGGGTAAATTCATATAGATTTGGACTCTGACTAGAGTCCAAATCTAGATGAATTTACCCACCAGGTAGTATAAATATTGAGTTGCCTATGCACAACCTTATGGCTTTATCTGGACTGAAATTGATTTTGTGACTCCCAGTGAGGTTGATACCTCCCACTGAACCTTCCACTGAATTTGGCCACCTATTTGCTAGGTCCAGTGTCCTCCTGGGTCTTTTGGTTTGGTCCATGTGGTGGTATTGACATCTTTATGGGAGAGGGTGAAGAAGAAGGCTTGAAGAAGGAGGTGGTACAGCTCCTTTTAAAGAGACCATTGCTGGATTCTTTCCTTCTGGATAGTTATTGTCCAGTTTCTAACCTTCTCTTTGTAATGTAGGTTGTTGAAAAAGTGGTTGGATAGTTCTTGTAAAGCAGTGATCCCCAACCTTTTTTATGCCGCGGCCCGGTACCGGCATCAGCTGGGCACCGCGGCCCGGTACCGGCGTCAGCTGGGCACCGCGGCCCGGTACCGGCGTCAGCTGGGCGCCGCCATCTTTTTTTAATGAAAAAGTGCTTCCGGTGAGCTCACCGGAAGCACTTTTTCATCAAAAAAAGATGGCGGCGCCCAGCAAACCAGCGGCCCGGTAGGACTTGTTCCACGGACCGGTCCCGGTCCGCGGACCGGTGGTTGGGGACCCCTGTTGTAAAGGGTCTTGAAAAAGCAGATCATTTGAATCCATTTCAGGCTAGGGTATTGCACAGAAATAATATTGGTCACACCTTGATGACTTTTGGTGAAGATGGGATGGGGGCGGTATGTCCATCCGTGTGTTTCTTGGTATCTCAGCATTTTTCAGTACCATTGGCCATTGATATCTTTTTGACTGGTTGCAGAAGCTAGGAGTTGGAAATACTATGTTGCAGTGGTTTGCCTCCTTCAGTGATTAGTCCTAATAGGTATTGACAGAGGGGAGAGGTTGCACCTGCAGCCCCTCAGTGCATTTAGCTTCAAGGCTCAAGGTTTAACACCTACAGGAACCTACATGTTGGGTGACATTGGCAATCAGTTTGGAGTCCAGTATCATGAGTCTGCTGATGACTTGTGCATTGTTAATCCTGGCCTTGGGCTATGAAAGTGTTAATAGCTTCTGGAGGATGTTTAGATCTGAATGGAGAGAAATAGACAACCATGACAGAACCCTGACTGGCTGTGGTTAACCCCCCCCCCCCCCCGGATGTTTTCATCTTTGGCCTTGGATGGAATCACACTTTCCTCTATGAGATTTCTATATACAAGTTGGGAGTCATCTTGAACTCTCAGCTACTGCTCTAAAAGCAGTAAAGTAAGGAGCTCTTATTTTTCTGCTTGTTTATTAGCAAGATAATTGTTATCATGCCTATTGATGTTTAGATAATCTGGACCACATAGAGTTTTTATTGAACTCTTGGGTCATAATGTATTCATACGTTAAATTGGTATACATAATACTGCATTGGTGACACAACAATTATGACAGTGTTGGAAAGGTCAATTTGTATAATTTCATTTTTCCATCCAATATACCCAATTCAGGCAACTGGCAAAAGAGTGGATTGTTAGTTTCATAAGATAGTAACAATCTTTGTCTCATTTTATCTCTGTTTTTAGATATTGCAACTTGCTTACTCTGTTTTCAGTTTTCAGAAAACCAGTACGATTTGTAAAATGCTGCTAAATTAAGGTTTTGTTTAGTCAATAATCTCTTCTCAGAAGGGATTCAAGGAGCGAAATAAGGAATGGATCTTGAATTTTTTTTAGTTGTTCCATATAAAATACAAATGACTGATTATATTTAAGAATCTCCCACTGCATTTGCATAAATCTTCCATCCTACATAATGGAGAAAGGAATGCATTCTGGCAACTGGGTCCATTTTGTTGGCAAGTGGCCATAGTAGTTGTTATTGGGTATAATTTAGTGCAGTATTTGAATATGGAATATTTAATTTAGAGAAAAAATAGCAATAAGCCTGAAACTGATAGAACTATTATTGATTCAATTAAATAAAGCATTCATTATGATGAATGTCTTTCTCAGGGACAGATGCTACTTTGAAAACTCCAGTACTTAAAGCAGATAAAGTTGATAAGGTTTTCAAGTGCTTGTCTATTCATCAGTAGTTGAAAGAATCCCTTTGAAAAGAAATATTATTTGTTCTATTCACATTGAGTCTGACTTTTTTAAAGGAACATTATCTTACGTTGCAATTACAATCACACTGATTTTATTCTGCATTTGTTAAGTTTAATATCCCCTAAGGGATATTCACTGAAACATTTGGCAATGCATAATTCTTTAATCATTTCTGCTTTCTGCTCCTTTTTATTTATAGCATTTCCTGCTTAAGCAGGGGGTTAAGCTAGAAGACCTCCAAGGTCTCTTCCAACTCTGTTAATCTGTTATTTTGTCAAGATGCTTTCTTACATTCTAAATAATCCTATAAGTATAAAACTAAGAAAGGATTCAAAATAAAAAGTTTAAAACTAAGTCTTGAGATTTCAAATTATTTTTGTTATTAATAGATGAATTTATGTACATCCAAATGTGTATAGCCTGAGATCCAGTACATGTGCTCTTCCCAAAGTGTTAAGTGTGGTCTAAGACATTTCTGAAAGTTGTTACCAAATAATATTTGTAATATATTGGAGAAGATTTAATACATAACTGTATTTTAACTACATTTAAATATAAGTGAAATAAATTTAGATTCTGTCCTGGCCCCACTGCTCCAGCATATTATTCCAAGGAAAATTCAGGAAAGATTATGTTACAAATTATAACATATTATTTATCTTAACTATTGTTGGGGAAAAATTCAAAGAATAATCATTAATGGAAATTATATTTCAAATCATGGTATTTGAAGATGGCTTATTTCAATTAATCATAATTAATGTAAACCCAGTTTAGAATGACATCCCAAGCTGTGGTTAATTTAAAATAAAAGTTCTGATTTCCTCACTTTTGGGTTGAAAGAGAGAGTATGGGGAAAGCATAATGTTGAGGCTTAGTGGGATTTGCTCTTTTAATGTTAGATAATAATGATTAGGTACATTCACATGCAGGCTGCTGCAAGTGGTTGAAATCAATTTAGGTGCAGGATTGGATTTGAATTTCCCAAACTGCCATTCTAAAATAAGATGCTGCTGTTGAAGCCAATGTTGTTTACTTTCCTAAGCACTGTGTATGTACTAAGACTAAGAATTGCAAAATGAAAACAAACTGCTTCTTTTTTGGCTGATGGGAACAGCCAGATTTATCTTCCCCCTGCTGCTATTCCCTTCCTTTCCAGTGGCAGGTTGTAGCTGGGTTGTAACTCCTCAGGCAATTGATCAAGGGATTATTTCATTTAGAGGTATGGAGAAGTCAGTTCCTTACATTTTCTGTTTTTGTAACTGACTTCGGTCTGTCTTTTCATCATTCAACTAACTGGTAGCTCTTTGTCGTGAGTTGGGTGGCTGTATACATTTATTTAATAATAAATAAACAAATAAACATAGCCTTTGAAGCTCTGGCACCTCCAGATGCATGGACTCCAACTTCCAGATTCCTTAGTTAACATTACCATTGCTGAGTATTCTTGAGAAATCTGGGAAAGCTGACAAATCCTCATATTTAGAGGATTTAGAGGAACTTTAACTATAATGGTCCTGATAGATTAATTCTGAGAAAATTGTGTGATTGCTACTAGTGACTAGTGCTAGCTACAGTGAAAGTTACATGGAAAGTGACTTTCACTTCTTTTTGGTTAGGATTTTTGTAAAAAAAACTTTGTAAAAACAACTAACAGCTTTCCATTTGTAGCTTCTGTAGAAGGAAGGAAGGAGTTAGTAGAACTGAAAAACTACTATATGTGAATACATTTTTATTTATTTACTCCGTTGCATAGAACTACCACAGGATCACTTGATTTTCTTCAAACTTGCTTCTATTTCCATCTGAAGCATTTCTTATAATTCAGTGCTTATGCATTTAAATAGATGTAAGTAGATTCCTTATTAGAAAAGCCACATCAGTTTATAGATAAGCTCATTGTTTTAGAAGAAAAACTCTGGTTGTGTAAGACTAACATAATCATGACATACGAAGTGTTTCTGCAAAAGTTGACATAACATATAACACAAAATGAAATGAAATCTTATCTTAGATATAAGCAGACTTGCAGCAATATTTTGAAAAACATCCCATAATAATAAAATCATCACCAAATACCAGAGCCCTGGTGGTGCAATGGCTAGAATGCAGTATTGCAGGCTGACTCTGCTCACTGCCAGCAGTTTGATCCTGACCAGCTCAAGTTTGACTTAGCTTTCCATCCTTCCGAGGTCAGTAAAATGAGGATCCAGATCTCTTCGGGTTGTAAAGCACTGTAAGCTGTATATAAGTACTATTGCTATTGCTAAGGGCAGCTTTATTTGGAACAGCTTACATCCTGCAATAGAACCTTTAATATTATTAAACAACAATTGCAATTCCTTTCTCTTTCTTTGGGAAAGACTTGATAAATGGACAAAAATGTCAAATCGTTAAAATCCTGGCTGACTTGTGATTCATCATAATATAAAATTTGGACCTATTGAGGAAAAAAGTTATACAATAATAGTATATATCTGAGTTCTGAGTACAATTTGTATCATGTCAGCTTTTGGCATATCTGTGAAGTATTTCTATAATTTGAAAAAAAAAATCTAGGCATTGGTAAATACTGATTAAGAGCTTTTGGTGTAGGTGGTTAGGTATCAAACTAGAAAGAAGGAGACAGTTTTAGTTTCATCTTTGGTATGAGAAGCCAGCTGGGTGACCTTGGGTTAGTCACTTTTTTCTCAGGTTTAGGTAGGAGGCAATGGCAACCACTTCTGAAAAACTTTGTCAAGAAAATTGCAGGGACTTATTCAGGTAGTCTCTGAAATTAAGACATGATTGAATGGAAGAAAAAATAATTATTTATTGTTTTGCCAGTATAAACATAACATTATTATAGAAGATGCTTATTTTTGTTGAAGGGGAAATACTTGCAGTAATTTTCATGTTAATACTACATTTTGATATTTTAATGACTGATATAATCAAGTTGAACATAAATAAATTCTAATGGCAATTACTATAATTTTGAAAATTATAAATGTAGGATTGTATACATTAGAAATCTACTCAACTGATATATTTTAGAAAAATGATTTGATACTGAAGAGAATTTTTTTTTTGATATTTTTCTTATGTTTTTGTCATTATGGTAATTTAGCATATATATTAAATGTAAATATATATCTAGTGAATTGTGTATGAGAAGGTAGGAAAGGAATTTGTAACAAGCAGGGAATTGGATATTTGAAAAAAACTTCAAACTTGTGAAATTGCATCTAAGGTAAAGGTGCTGTATTATTGTTACGCTACATCCACAGAACATCTACACCTTGCAACTGTAGTCAGTTGCATTTTTCTCTGTAGCTCTTCGACATGGTATATTTCACTCTTGACCCTATTTCCAGGAGATGTACGAGTAAGAAGTCGGGCAGGATTTGAAAGAGAGAGAAGAGGTTCTCATCCATACATTGATTTCCGTATTTTTCACTGTAAGTATTTAATAGTAGTACAGTAATGAAGAATTCCATTTGTGTTTGGCTGCTGCGCCTATAGTCATACCAGACTTTATTAACTAATATTTCTCATTTACGGAAATAATTTCTATTTGAAATGTTGTGAACACACTCTATGTAGAATATTGCAGTATTGTTTCTTAAGCTATATTATACCAAGTTGAAAAAAAATGCACAATGAATTCAGGCTTTTGAATGAGTGAGGATACAAACACAGCAGTTGTCGCCAGATCTCTAAATTCAAATATGTCTTTTCCTGGGATAATGCAGTGCAATAACTGCAGAGGGTAATTGAATAATCTTTTGGAAAAAAAACCAAAATTCTCTACTTCACAGATTAGGGCATAATTAGAGAATCTCATTCTTGTGTAAATTTACTAATTCCATTGGCAAAGAGGCAATATTTTATAAGAATGTAAAACTCCTCATCTCTTCCAGACTTTAAGAATTAAAGGCTCTGATTGCAAAGGATAACCAATGTTTATCTGTTTAGGTAGCCATGATGATAAGATATAGAAGTGCAAATGTTCTCACTGTGAACATGGCTTGAAATTTTAATAATAAAATTTATAAGATTCTAATGAAAGACAGACTGTAGTTGCAAAATGATAGGTTTGAGCAAATCATGACATACTAGATGCAATTATCTCTATTTTAAAAATACCATCTTCTGTGATATTTTAAATGCTTGGATTAATCTGAAAGCTGCTTCTTGACAGAATGCTGAAGATTTGTATAGTTCAGCTACATATGAATATTACATAAAGAAGTTCTGTTATTCCTGGGAGATTTTGGCTTTACTGTACATTCTTTTGTGGGATGATTTCCCTACATTTTCATTTGAATGTTCTTTCATTTGGACCATTTCCTTTGTGTGCAAAGTAGGATGTTTTGAGTATTTTGGAAGTAAAAGTTAAAAGTTCTTAAAAGTTCAGCTCTTTGAATTTCGAAACACTTCGTAGATGCTCAGTTCAGGTTGCCCTCAAGTTACAACGATTTATTTAGTGACTGTTGAAAGTTACACTGGCACTGAAAAATGAGACTTACAACCAGTCCTCCTCACACTTAAAACTGTCACGGTACCCACATGGTCACATGATCAAAATGTGTGGGCTTGGCAACTGATATTTATTCACAGTGGTTGCAGTGTTCTGTGGTTGTATGATTGCCATTTGCAGCCACTCTAGCCAGTTTCCAAAAGCAAAATTTATTGGGGAAGTTGGTTTTGCTTAACAAAAACATGATTTATTTAACAGCTGCAGTGAATCACTTTAATTGTGGCAAAAAAGGTTTTAAAATCAGGTGTGAGTCACATAACAATCACCATAGCAGCAGAAATTCTGGATCCAATTGTCATAAGTTGAGGACTAATTGTATGTACTTTCAAAATAGACTGTTTCACATAGAGATGTTTTTAACACTATTCAAAAGTTTTCTTGTTTTGCTGAAAGTAGTAGTTTATTTATTGGGAAAATAAATACTACCCTGTGTGTAGATGTCATATTACTCATTAAAAAAAGCAAGATGGGTCATTTCATTCTGTTATACTTGATCTAATAAACTGAAATATGCTCAAGCTATTTGTGAATACAATTCTTTCATCTATTCACACTGGTACTAGAAAAAAAGCAGGAAGTAATAATGGCTTCCTTTTTCTTTTTGTTTGAACTGTGAAACTGTAGTTGCCAGCCTTCAATAAAGTACATAATCTGTAACCATATGGCACTGAATTAAGATTCTGGCTTAATAAGGTTGCTTGATATAGTTTTCTGATTCAGGTAAATTGACCATTATTTGCATTCATCTTACTATAGCTAGAATCGTCCAAGATTGTGCTGGAATCATTGATTGAAGTGGGTATTTAATGTCTCATTTTGATCCATCCTATTTTTGAGGCCTAATACAGAAATAATGTGCTGTCAAGTAAAAAGAGAGAGAAAAAGAGTGTGTGATTGGAACCATGATTGCCCTCTAGCATCTTGAGAATGCCTGGTCACTACTATTGAAGGGTATATCTCCTGGCAGAAAAACATTAAAATAGTATTTGACAGCAAATGACCTTGGTCAGGTACTTTATCACTGGTGAGAATCATAGTCTGAGCTTAGGTAATAGTTGTCTGTTGAATGTCCTTCCTTCCTTCCTTCCTTCCTTCCTTCCTTCCTTCCTTCCTTCC